AGTTTTTTTTATACAAATTGTATGAATGTGAAATTTAGTACGTGCCATCTTCTCATTGGGAGGCACCTATAAAATATTAAAAATAATTTTTCGATGAAATATAATGACCAAAATACCCTTTGAAAATTTTAGGGGTATTTTGGTCATTTTATTTTATTGAAAATAGTTTTTTATATTTTTTGCTAGTGCGTGTTTGATAGAAGATTGGACATATAAAATTTGGTATCAAAATAATTTATAGAAAAAAATTAAAAATAAAATAGTGTAGAGACATGACATTATGATTGGGGCAATTTTAACCCTCTATTCAGAATGGACGGTTGGATAAGATGAAGTATATAAGTTTTATGTTATAGGGGAAATATAGAAAGCTTACCCCATAAAAAATATGTTAGTCTTAATTTTAATAGGTGTTGACATGAAACACCAAGCCAAAGCCAAATGTAGAAGTACCGACATGACGAGGAGGATCATCCTAATAATTGAGTTGGAAGAGTAGTGATTTGAGTACCTTTCAACTAATATTAAAAAAGATAACACGAATATGTCGTCAAGTTGTAAACGTGGATGCATAGGCTTGTATATGTGAGACTCGAAACGATACTTCAAAGGAAAATTGGATGCTTCGTATGAAAACAACAATTATCCTAACATTTGAGTTCCATTTATAATTAAGATTGTATACTATGAGATCATTTATTTTTGAATTTTATATCATTTTTAGTCATGAGATGTCAAATTGGATGATTTGAGGTATATCACGAAATTCAAAAATATTTTTTGAACTTTGAATCTAGTAAATGACATTCTTACAATCACCCCATTTAATATCTGATAGATAAAAGTATTTGTGTCATCTTTGTGCCAAAAGTAAATAATTTTTATATATGCTTTTCTTTATAAATTAATATTGGGTTGCTCTGTGTTTGAAACTCACTTGCCATTTTACATCTTCCCATGGGAGGAAAAGAAACGTGAATTATCCGTTTTTTTTTGTGCATATTCCATTATAGTGTAGAGAACAATATTATAATGGGAATGAGGTTGAGGTCGAGGTGGTAGCATCACTTAATCTTAAAATTCTTATGACACTTCCTAAGTTGGATCGGATTTGATGTCGTACGATTGAGTCTTCACCTAGTACCAAAGGTAAATGGTATATAATCTCTCAAGAGTTTTAGTTTTTTTCAAAGAAGATTTGGGAAAATTATGAGAAATTTTTAATTAAAATATTATTTAAAACATAAAAAAAAATAATATGAGACTGAAGAAGAATGGCTCTAGGTCTCTACTTGAAGACATGTGGACTAGCCTTACAGCATTTCCAAACAGGTTCCTTTATCCGCCATGATCCTCTTCCTCGTTCAGTCTCCCTTACTAGAGGAGGGAGAATCATACCTGCTTCTCCCCTAAAACAGGAGGGCAGTTTCTTTTGTCTTCGTCTTGTTTTTCTCTTTTAAGTGAAGGCCCCCTTAAATACAATAGGAACTAACTTCTTTAACATACTAGTTAAGGCGAGTAGCTCCCTAATAGGCCCTTTAAAACGTTTACTTAAATAAAGAAAAATTTATCAAAATACACTTAAATTATCAACTATTTAACCTCTTACCCATTTTCAACTATTTAAACTCATCATTACGTCTATTTTGATAGGATTTTTGAAATTAAATCAAAAGAAATTAGTAAAATATTAAATAAGAAAAATTGCAAATACCCTTCCCTCCCAACTCTAGACTTTCTAGACAACTTCTCTCAATAAACTTTTTTTTTTTACATCACTTTTACCTCAAAACACAACTTTCTAGCAAATACGCCCAAGTCAAAAAGTTATGGTAATTTGAACCAAAATGTCCTCTCTCTCTCTCTCCTAGAACCCATTACTTAATTTTTTAGGAGATAAAAATAAGAAAATATGGATAAGATTAGACATTGTCTCATAACGTGTAAATAATTAGATGAAGGGTGCGATTTGTATAGTGCCGTGGTTCTAAACAATCAAATTAGAACCTACCTTCAAATAGTAGCAAGAAATGTGGTTTCAATGCTGGAAATCTCTGTAATAGCCTTAAAATATATTTTCATCTTTAATTATAAAATTTAAAGCTTCAAAAATAGTATAAATCGAACAGATCTAAGAAAACTTGAAAATCTTGAAAATTGACTGTCCAAAAATGTGATACAATATGCACTATTTCCAAAACTTCAAATCCATTCTTTTCTCATGTCCATGCTTCTTGATGTCGAGATGATCAATTTTAGGACATTTGAGTTTGAAAAACAATTTCTTCTATTGAAATTTTGAGTTGGGCTCAAACTTGATTGTTTAGAGTCTCGGTTCCATATAAACCTTTTCCTATGATGAATATGTCGATAAATTAACCTTTTCCTATGATGAATATGTCGATAAATTAAACAAACATTTCATGTGGATGATTTCTGTCATCTCCCATTACTGATTCTCTTTTTAGGAGACAAATATCTCCAAACCTACAATATTTATTAAAAAGCAACGAAGTGGAAGAAAACACACTTCGTTCTCTCTCTTCTCTGTGTGTGTGTAGGCTGGGATTCAAATCTTGTCCACAGGAAGAAAGGGCAAGCCTGCTCCACTTGGTGTTTTGGAGTAAACTTCTTAAGGGTTTGAATCCACCTCCCTCCATAAATTGGGATGTCTAATAATGTTTGAGATGTAAGAATTAGGGGCTGTATATCATGTTTTTTTTTTTTGGGTACAAGGAGGCCACAACTATTTTGTATCACAAAATTCGAAAAATTCCTTTTTAACTAAGAGCCTAATTCATGGAACTGCCCAAACTCGCATCAAATGGTCAAGACTACTTTGTGACCTCCATTTACCAAAAAAACAATGGTCTCATTTGTATACTTTTTCTAAGAAAAGATAAAGTTTTTATAGGGCCTAGGTTTTATGAAAACAAAATAAAGCTTCAGCTCAAATCCTCATTCATAAAGCACTTTGGGCATCGAAAATCTTCATGATAGCTTTAAAATCAATTTCCAACACAAACAATAAAATTTGAAACTGAAAAAATAGCACAGATCTTGTGGATATGTGAGCACTTATTTTTAGGGTGAAATGTCTAGTCTAGATGATTATTGCAATATACATTATTTTTAAAACTTGAAATCCTAATTTTTTTTTCACTACCATAAAGTTCAAGCTGATATTATCGATTTAAAGGTTTTTCAACACTTGAATTGCAATTTTTATTTCTATAGATAGAAGCAGCTAGCCAAGAGAAGAGAGAGAACTCATACAACTATGTTCTTTGAACGGCCATTTCCGAAACAGATAAGATGTTCACTAGATCGGTCGGTCAGACGGTTCAATATATTAGAGCGTAATATTGAAATGGTTTGTCTAAAAGAACGCGCAGCGTACTACTGAAATGGTTCCTATAAAGGTTCGAGTTCCAATGTGAGGTGAGGCCCTATCAAACCATATTCCAATATAAAATGCTTCTTAAATAGCAAATGCAGAAGGGAGAAAATAACTTTCAAGAAAAAGCAGGTAAGTAATAAACAGGTAAGTAATAAAAGTAGTTATAAACAGAGGTAAGTAATACTTAAGAAAGGGCAAGGTCCTAAACAATCAAACTAAGAGGCACCCAAAAAATATCACTAGAAGGGGTTGTTTCGATGCTTAAAAATCCTCAAATTGATCATCTTGACCTCAAGATGCATAGACGCATGAAAAAATGGATTTCAAGCATTGAAAATAATACACTTTGTGATGCATTTTCGAAATATCAATTTTCAAGATTTTCAAGATCTGCTTAATCTACACTATGTTTTAAGCTTTAAATTTTTATAATTAAAAGAAAATAATTTCTCAAGACTTTCGGTATTGAAACATCTTTCAACACTATTTGAAGGTATGCTTTACTTTGATTGCTCGGCCTTATACAAACCACACCCAAATAAGAAGAAAATAACTTCTCAAGACTTTAAGTATTGAAACATCTTTCAACACTATTTGAAGGTGTGCCTTACTTTGCATGTTTTAAAATCTGTTATTTTCACAAGCCAAATAAAAGGATTTTTCGTAATAATTTAATTATACAAAGCCAAGGGAGATGTGTCTCCAAATTTTTCTTGCAATTTTCACTCTAAAATAAGCTGTTTCTAGTAATCTGTATTACTCATGAAAAACTGGTTTATTAGTTATTGTAATCTACAAGGAGAGAGAGAGAGAGAGAGAGAGAGAGATGCCACTGTTTTTTCTTGCGCACCATCTAGTGAATATATCAGATTTTCAGTCAATAATATGCGGCGTTTGAATGATCAACTAGGGCCGAGTACTCAGCCCAGGCCCGAGCTGAGTACTCAGCCCAAGTTTGAGTAACTCGGCCCTAGTTGTTTGAATTTTGGTCGGGCCAAAAACTGTAAAAAAAAATTAAAAAAATATAAAAATCCAAAAACTAAGAAAAATATGATTACAATGAAATTAAGCAAAACATATCTAAATGAGGTAAAAAAAGTACTAAGATTTTTAAAAAAATCAATTTGTTGTGTGGGTGTTTTAAAAATTATCAAAAAAAAAGACAATGTAAAATATGTAATTTTTTTAATTTCTTTTAAGATCCCGCGTTGGACACCCAACTCGGGGAAGTTCAGGTTGGCAAGCCCGAGCTGACTCCCAGTACGTATCTTTAAATGCAATAGAAATAGTCTGAATCCCAGTACGTTCAAAATGGACAGGCTGAATCCCAGTACATATCTTTAAATGCAATAGAAACGGTCTTTTGGGAACATTTACCATAGAAGCCAAATTTCTTGGGGGCTATGGCGGAGTATGAGAGAACACAAAGGCACCAAATTTTCTTGGGAATTTCCAAGAAGTAATCATATTTCAAAGAATAAGTGGCACCATTAGTGAAAAATACAGCTTATAAATGCTATATACAGAATTACAGACAACTTTCTAATTTAGTGCATACATTATGTTCAAATTCAGAACCAGAACCTTTCTTTTGTCTCATGTTTGAATTCAGAACTAATAGTAACCTCTGAGTAACAATCATATATACAACAGCTGCAGAGTCTACTTGGAATTTGAAAAGATAAGTTGGAATATCATATTTTCCACCATTTTTTCTCTTCCATTGCCTTGACGAGCTCATTCGCCATAGAGGCAAAACTCTCTGCATCATTTTGGAGATCTTCTGTACGTTTGCTAATTCTCTGCCACCATAGACCAGAAAATTCTTATCCAAACTCAAAAAGGTAACAAGGATTCTCAAAAGCCACATAACAATAATATAGGTTGGGGATAGAAGAAAAGATTAAGAGAAAACATCAGTGGTACAGACAACTTCCACATAAATCATGCAAGTTCATATATATAGGGTGAGGTTTATATAAGATGAGCACTTTAAATAATCAAAGTAAGGCACACTTTTAAACTCTGCTTAAAGATGAAGTTGCAGAGAACTTTACGATGACCTAAAAATCAATTTCCAATTTTAATAATTAATTTCATCATCATCATCATCATCACTGTCATTACCCTCAGAGCATTTTCCCAACCAATGTTAAAATAATCGACTCGGCAAAGGTACTCGGGACCTGACCGAGGCGATTTACTCGGACGAGTTCGAGTAACTCGCCCGAGTCCAGCTCATTTTTTTTTTAAAAGAAAATGAAGAAAAATAATGGTTATCTATATTATAAGTACATCCTTTATCAGCAAAGTGAGAGGCATGTTGGGTATGTAAAAGGACCTCTTTATAAGAGGTTTCAGGATCAACTCTCATGGTTAGCTTTTTTTTGTTTGAGCAAACTTGAACGGTGAAATGATGTTTTTAAAATAAAAAAAAAGTGTGCCCATGACTGAGGTAAACTTTAGTCCTTAGAGCTAACCAATAAGCCATCTTAACATATTTGATATAAATTTGCAGTAATATTATACTAAATTTTAAAAACATGGTGTACAACTAGCTCGCCCGCCTCGCCTATGGGCCTTGGCTGAGTTTTAGAACTATGTTCTCAACTATTTGGGGTCAACTATAGGAATCATGGTCCACTATTATGCTCTATCAAGGCCATACCCTCAGTGAGGCCACAAGTCCTCATATCTTTTCTCATTACTTCCAACCATATCCTTTTAGCAAACCCCTTGCCTTTTTTTAGACTTCCACTTGAACTAACTCGCACTTCCTAACAGGTGCTGTACTGGGTCTGCACTGCACATGGCCAGCCCACCCAAGTCTACTTTCTCTCATCTTTTCGCCTAATGGCGCTACGCCTAAGCTCTTTCGAATGCGCTCATTTCGAATTCTATCCCTTCTTGCCTTGCTACTCATCGATCTCAACATCCTCATCTCAACTACACTCATATTATGGGTATATTGCTTCTTGACCGCCCAACGTTCTGCCTCATAAAGCAAAGCCAGTCTCACAGCTGTCCTATAGAACTCGCCCTTCAGCTTCATTGATATGCGGGGATCGTATAAAACTCTGGTTGCACATCTTTACTTCACCCACCTAGCTTTAATTCTACGTGCAACATCTTCCTCAATCTCTCCATTTTCATAGATCATCACTCCAAGATATGGAAAGTACACTCTTTTTGGTATTTCTTGGCTGTCAATCTTAACTACTTTCTTATCTCAACTCCTATTATTACTAAACTTGCATTGCATACACTCTGTCTTAATCCGGCTAATTTTAAAACCTTTAGATTCTAGAGGATCTATCCAAAGTTTTAATTTTTTGTGTTGGTGTCGTTTCGGGTCTCATCCAACAAAACTATGTCGTCTACGAAGAGTATACACCATGGTACCTCATCTTGCAAGTACCTAGTTAAGTCGTCCATAACTAAGATAAAGAAGTGTCGGTTCAACACTGATCTTTGATGTGGACCTATTGTTATTGAAAACTCACTTGTCTCTCCACTAGTTGTTCACACACTAATTAACGCTCCCTCGTACATATCTCTCAACAAGTCGATGTAATATCTGGAGACTCCTTTCTTTTCTAACATTAAATCTCAAGGTACGATATCGTAAGCTTTCTCTAGATCAATAAAGACCATGTGGAGGTTTTTTCCTTTTACCCTAAACTTCAAGTTCCAAAAATGTTGCAGATCAAGCTGATCTATAAACATTGAAAAATCTTGAAAATAGACGGTCAAGATATTGTGTTGCAAGATGAACTATTTTTAGGACTTGAAATCCATTTTTTCTTTCACATCCATGCATATCTAGGTCTAGATGATCATTTGGGGGTTTTTCTAGCATGGAAACAACCTTTTCTAGTTGGATTTTGACGTGCACCTTACCTGTACATCATAAGGTTGACACCTAATACAAACTTTTTCCATACATACACACACACACACACACACATTCATTACTCCCTGATAGTGTGGTAAATACTCTGAAGTTCACTACAAGTGACGATCTTATCATATATTCTGCTATATATGCCAAAATTATTTTAGATGTATATTTTACCCCTACAATTTTTTTTTTAATAAGTTCCTTTAATCCTATAATTTATGTTAGACAACTATTTTAGCCCCAAAAATTCATACAAATGCACCAAACCTTGCCTGGTATTTTAAATCCTATCCTGACAGCCAACAGGTGAAACAGTCATCAAGCAAGAAAGGGCTGGTCCACCTACCTACCTAATATTTTGAGTTTCTGCAACACCTTCATGGCTTGTGCAGGTATTTCAGATACTGCTTTGATATTTCCCCAAAGATTAAACTTTGCCATCTGTTAGGTTTCTTACTTGCTAATGTATTCAAAAGAATGTTTCCTAATTGTTCCTTTTTGTATTTCAGGATTTTCTTTCTTTAAACAATTCTTGAAGTTCTGCAAATGAGCAACAAAGAAATTTAACACAATCATGATAGAATAAAACATGCAACTAGAAATGTTTTGATACAAAACTTTGCTAAACTTGCACAAACTGATACTGCCAAGCAGTGGTTTAAAAAGCGGATCGGTGACCCGGATCGGGCATCTCAAAAACCCATCCTGATCGGCGAATTGGATCGGGAATCAGTTGAATCGGTCGGATTAAACCTTACAAAAATCCGAAAAAATTATCAAAATTCATTATAAATGTTGTTTTTTAGGAATTCAATAAGAAATGAGGGTACTTCATTAAGAATTTTTATTTCTTTGCATGAATATGGGAATATTGATATGTTCTTTCCCTGCATGAACTACTATTTACCATTTAATTTACATCACACAAAAGGATAAACATAAAATTATCATGGATTAAGTATATCATCATACATGGAGTACAATAAAGCATACAATTCGTAACATACGATCTAAAAATAAAATGACAGACGACGTCGTTCTTTATCTCGGTCACGCTGGTGCCATTGATTGAATGCGCGTGACAATTCATTGACTCGTTCTAAAAACGAATCATCCAAATTAGTGGGCACCTGACTATACCCAAAAACTTGAGTGTTAGTGTTTTATTGTGGCCCTAATCTAAAATCCCCGAAGCTTGTCCATCCTTCATGCTCACCTACACTATCATGCTCATCCCTACCCTCTTGTTGTTGGGACTCGATATGTGAATAATTTGACAGGGATTGGGTGGCCTCAGAATCATCATCTCTCTCATTTTCCCTTAGACCCCCTTCTCCTCTCCCTCATTAGGTGCAATATCACCGACATCTCCGACGAATTGTGGATATGTTGGCAGGCTGCTTCCTCTTTCATGCTGCTCATTACCTTCTTCAAGATCTTCCTCACCGATTGCCTCAAAGAACGCTCTCTTGTACAACACTGGCTCATCTTCTTCTACTACCCATTGTTCTGCTGTGTCTGTGACAAATATTGTATCCAAGTCTATCGACCTATAGTCTTCAAGCTTCCTTCTTATTTGTCGCTCTCGGAGGTTTAAGTTGTAATGAATGTAGACTAGTTTATGAAGCTTCTCCAAAGCGAGTCGATTCCTCCTAGTAGTGTGCAACCATTGGAACGTACTCCAGTTTCACTCACAGCCAGTAGCAGAACATGTCTGCGAGAGCACCTTGATTGCTATCCTCTTTAGGTGAGGTTCATCACTACCATATATCTCCCACCATTCAGCTGGATTAAAATACAAAAAGCATTGTAAGGGCAAGAACAATTCATAAGATTAAATATATTAATGAACAAAATATTAGTTAGGGGATAATCCATCTTAGTTCGAGAATTCCTGGCAAGTCTAGTTCCGAAGGATCCTATAGCATCCCTATACATAGCAAGCTAAAACAAAATATTTCGTTTTAGTGCATTATTCCTCACAAATATAACAACTCAATCAAGTTCTTACCCAAATATTAAAGAATACCTCTTGTATTGCTGCTACCTGGTTTTGATGACTTATCTCCAACCTGACAATAATGTATCTGACCCCTTCCATAATCTTGTGGGGAAGTTCAGATGTCAAATAGAAAAATTTTGGGTTGAAGTAATAACCTAAAAAATATATAGATAGAGAAATGTCATTTAAAATTTCATAAAAAAATAATTTAGAATGAAACATTCTAATGATATAAATATATATTTACCTGCATAATGAATTGGACGTCCAAATTTGGTGTTCCAACTTCTTTCTATATTCTCGATCACTTTACTAGCAAAACTACACTTCTCCCTAATAGCTGATTTGGCCCTCTTGATACCTTCATAAAGGATGCCTATGGTAGCTTTCTTGTTAGCATCCACCATTCTTAACACAGTGACTAAAGGGGCAGTGGCCTCTACGATACTGGAACATCAAGACCAGAACCTCCTATTTGAGACTGTGCCGTCCACTTTTAGCCCGGTACTGGACTTTGAGAGGCGGTCATTTAACCACTCTTCATTGGTAAACAATCTCTTTATTGCACCTTCGGATTCCCGAATGGAGTCCACAGCCAAGTAATCTGTCGCAAAGCGGGTTATGGCAGGCCTGATTATCTCGTTTTTCTTAGACTGCTCTCTGAACAAAAAAAAAATTTTTAGAATTGTTATATATAAATCTTGACACCAACCTTGCTTCTTGTAGAGTCTCCTTCACAATTTTGATCTCACCGATCTCCTCTAACATAAGATCGATGCTGTATGCAACACACGGGGTCCATACTAGATGCTTCCTCTTATCCATTAACTTGCTGCATGCAGAAACACATGCACGCGTATTGTCCGTAATAAACTGGACTACATACTTATCTCCCACCTCCTCCACTATCTGATCATATAGTTGTACGTAGAAGTTTGCATCCTTCTTCGTCCCGGATACGTCTTTGCTAGACAAAAAAACTGTACCTTTTGGGGAATAGGCCAAGAAGTTTAAGAACTCTTTTTTGCTAACTTTATTCAACCAACCATCACTCATGAGAGTAATGCATGTTCTTGGCCAACTCTGTTTATATTCTTCAATCCAATTTCTAACTTCCTCCACCTTTTCATCCAATATTGGCCCATTGAGCTCATATGCGGTCGGGGGTTTGACCCAGGGCCCGACTCTCTGGATTGCGTTGACCATAGGTGGAAAATATGGGCTATTGGCTGCATCAAAGGGGATCCCTTTATCGTAGAACCATTACCAACATATCTGCCCAACATGTTTCTCGTACCTTTCACCATGCTTTGGAGGGTCATCTATTTTGACTTAGGCTTTGAGAGAAATGGGTCTATACGACCATGACCTGCAATACTGGCACTCCTAAATAAGCTACAAACAATTTCTTCAACGTCTGATTCGTCTTGATATATATTACCACCAACCCCTCCATACATATTTGAGTTGAGCCCGCCATACATGCTCGAGCTGGGCCCCCCATGCATGTCTGAGCTAGGCCCATCATGCATGCCCATGTCATAACCACCAGGCATTCTAAACCCGCGCTCCATCTAGTAAGTTTCCTGTAAACTCATTATTGTGGCCATTTCCAAGTCATTATTATATTGTTTTTCTGGATCATTCTCGCTTGATGGCGTATATAAACTAGCTATCTCCTCATCCATCATCTGCTTTGTAATTTTTTTACCTTTGTTAGCCTTGAGAAATGCCACCATCTGCATTCTTACATTATTAGAGACACTATTGCACGTAGAAACATCTCTATTAACCCCTGCCAAGTGTTGCTTGAACCTATGTACCTTACTACTTATCACTCTTTGGCAGTAATTACAAATAATTTTGTCTTTTTTGTTGGGATCAAGTCTGACCCCATGTTGCCATGCAAGGTCTTCTACAGATCTTGTTATGGTTCAACTGTTTTAATATGTAAAAGGTTAAAAATTAACCTGACAGTTCAACATGAAAATAATCACCATGTGTAGTGATAATATGCAGGGGTAGTTCATGAAATTATATTTGTTGTTGATGCAAAATATTCCTATTGACAAAAATATTTTAGTTCCTATTGGGAAAAATAATTTATTTATGCAACATTATAGATAAAAATAGCCTATATCAGCCACTACATATAGAACAAAAAATTTACATTGATATAGTATCAATAAAAAATATATTTACAATGGTATAGTATTTCACAATGGCAATACATATGGACTTGTCACAAATCTTCATTTCGATAAACATGAATTAATTCCTACTGAGAAAAAAAAAATATTTATGCAACATTATAGATAGAAAAAAGTCTGTATAAGTCACACTTAGAATCAAGAAAAAAATTACAACAACATAGTCATCCATAATGCCACTACACGTATATTTGACACAAAAAACATTTACAATGATATAGTCATTCACAATGCCACAAATAAAATTTACAATGATATAAAGGGTACAATCCCAACTCAATTGAAATGATCACAAATAGTCGTACATCTCAATTACAAATATGCAAGATAATATAATAAAAAATACAAGCTCCAAACATGGATACGACTCAATTATCAAGAACATACATTTTTTACATTAAAAATTTAATAATAAAAAAAAAAATGCAAGATAATATAATTATCATACATGCCACGATTTTTTTACAATGATATTCACTTTAATTCCTCATGATAATACAGTTTAACAACATGTATTTTTTGCATTAAAAATTTAAAAAATTAAAAATACATTTTTAATGCAAAACTGCATTAAAAATATAATACAGTTTAACAGCATGTATTTGTTAATGTATTTTATTGCATTAACAACAAATTAAAAAATACAGTTTTGCATTAAAAATATAATAACATGTATTTTTTTGCATAAATAATCTATTAACATGCAATTTTTTTAACTAAAAATTTAACAATAAAAATTAAAAATATTGTTTAATTCCTCATGATAATAAAAAACTGGTCATAATTTTTTGAAAAATCATGATTTTTCAAAAAAATTGATCATGAATTAAAAAAAAAAAAACGCAGTTCTTCACATACCCACCTAACATCAGTCATTCCAACTCAAAAATCCGCCTCAAATCGAATAAATTACATCAAATTGAATACATGTTTTGATAAACAACACTATAAGGAATCAAAGTCCTATAATATTAACACATTATTATCAAAATATTAAATAAAATCGATTGAATTGAGGAAAAAAAAAAAAACGCAGTTCTTCATAGACATCAGTCTTTCAATCTCAAAAATCAAGCTCAAATTAAATGAATCAGATCAAATTGAATACATGTGATGATAAACAACACTATAACGAATCAAAGCCCTATAAATTTAACACACTATTTACAAAATATTGAGTAAAATTGATAGAATGGCGGGAAAAAAAAAAACCGCAGTCCATTTTTCCTTCACAGACATCAATCTTTTTTTCTCAAAAATCAAGCTCAAATTGAATAAATAAAATCAAATTGAATACATGTGATGATAAAAAACACTATAACGAATCAAAACCCCATAAATTTAACACATTATTTGATATTGAGTGAAATTGATAGAATGGCGGAAAAAAAAAAAAAAAAAACGCAGTCCATTTTTTCTTCACAGACATCAGTTGTTTTTTCTCAAAAATCAAACTCAAATTGAATAAATAAATCAAATTGAATACATGTGATGATAAACAACACTATAACGAATCAAAAGCCTATAAATTTAATATATTATTTGCAAAATATTGAGTGAATTTGATAGAATGGAAGAAAAAAAAAAAATATAGTTCTTACCTGTTTTTCGTGCACCCGTGGCTTCAAATTCAAATTTGATATGTATTCGTCCAAAATACTCACAAATTATGAACAAAAACTTCTGAACAACACTCTTACGATCAATAACCCTCAGATTTTACAAAAAATGATGCCCTCTTTTGCTTGAAATCAAAGAAATGGTGGAACCCTAAAACTTTTTTAGGGTTCTTCACAGATCCAAATTTTTTTTATCAAAATCGGTGATTTTTACTACCTTTTATTGACTGAAATGGCTGAAAAATTTAAAATAAAGCCTGCAAGATTCGATTATAAAACTGAAAAAGACGAAAAATGATAAGAAAATGACAAAAAACCATGAAAATCGTGAAGAACACTTTGCAGCCCGTGTTCTTGGACAAGTCTCAACAGTGACTCGGCGATTCACTATTGGGAATCGCCCGGTTCTATCTAGACACGGGCGATTCCCGGTATTGTAGTGGAACCGGCACGGAGTCTGCTGATTCCCGAGTCAAACCGGGTGAGTCAGGTTCGACTCGTCGAGTTTTCAAACCCTGCTGCCAAGAGATGTTGACATAAGGAAACAAAGCAGAGAGCAATAAACTGCAATTTTTTTTGAAGAAGCAACGAACTACAAATTATGTCATGAATCTCATGAATGAATAAGATTTCACAAGTCACGGAAACAACATTGTGAAAAATAAATGGCCTCAAGTCCATTACAGAAAGATGCCTCCATTACAGAAAGATGCCAATGTCCTTTTAGAGTTTCTGATGGAGCTCTCTGGTTACTTTAATACCATTTCAGAAAACATTAGAACTACAAACCAAGTGTCTTTGCTGACCTGAAGTTTTTCTTGGCGCTGTAAAAGCTTTTCTCTAGCACGTCCTGCAGCCTCAGAGGCATCCTAGAATAAATTGACTAGGAGTTAATGAGTAGGAGACATATTAGTAGTATAGGCCACATAAATGTTTCAGTTCATAAAAACTCACCCCTGCTTTCCTGTAGTGGGCCATAATTTCCTCAGGTCGCCTCAGTCTAGGCTTCATCGGTTCCTTTGCTCCATGGAATAATTGTTCCCTTTCAGCTTCCTCATCTTTGATAATGACATAAGCGTTAGATCAATTCAATTCATAGATTCAGTCAGCCAGTACACAAATAGAATGTTTAATGTAGTTCATATACCTCTCTTATTCACTTTCCTTGTAGTATGTGCATCCATGGTTGTTTCCATGGGTAGGGCATCATCAATTTCAATGTCATCTAAACAAAAATCAAATTCGGTGAGCAGCAGATAGTCACAAGATCACAGACACATGCATAGAAGAACAAATACACACCCTTGGACTCTATAATGTAGGCACACATTTTTTTTTCCAAGCAGCACGCGGATGTTTGTGCGGCTATAGACAAAACAAATGATAAAAGAACCATCACTGGGAAATTACAAAATTACCAATACTCAGAATTTCAACATCTACATCATCCGTAACTTTTGTAGATTGATCTGCAAATGGATTTCTAGAAAATATACTAATTAGATCTAGAGTTGAATTCCCCATTGCATTCCCCACTTTCCCTGCTTTAATGCCCTTGATAATGCCACCCAAAATCCCTTGAGAAGGAACCTGGACCAATCAGCAAACTAGTCATTCAGGCAAAGAACAAAAAGAAAATAAAAAATAAATGAATTACAATAATTTCTATGACCAGTGAGAAGGGCAAACCTGTTTTTTAATCTGTTGCACAGAAGAATTAATGGCAGCATCAGCAGCAGCAGCAAGAACTTCATCATGTAGACTGGGCAATGAATCAGGAATCCTAGAAAAATGCATAAAATTTGTCAAGCACTCCTATAATATGTGGTTGGATGTCAAATTTTTATCCGTGACAATGTCTAAGAAGGTACCTGAAAGCATTTTCACTCGCCAAAATAGAAACGATAGCCAACTCACTCCCATTTATCTGAAAGATTATCAAGATTTAAATATTTAGAAAAACATAAGACAAACATGGCATTGAGCATCTACTACACTGCAACACATGAAAAAAAAGATGTAACATCTAAAGCACATGCGGAACATAAGACAAACATGGCATTAAGCTTCTACTACACTGCAACACATGAAAAAAAAGATGTAACATCTAAAGCACATGCGGGTGTACCTACAAAATCTGTACCTGACAAGGGAAAATTTGGATGGACTTATTAAGTGTAGTCTTGTTAACATTAAATAAAAACTAAGGCAAAACAGGTTCTTTTGTAGTCACTTTAGTGGCTTTTAGCAATGTTTTTTCAAATAATCAAGACCGAGAAAAAGAGAAAACCAAAGGTGTTGCAGAATTGTTCCATAACTAGTATATTAAAATAATAGATAAGCAGTCCATCCAAACTCACTTAAGTTTTTCTATGTACTATCTTCATGTTACTTTGATTAATATATTGCTTCTTCCTAAGTGGCAACATTTTGGTATTAGTTAGTGAAAAGCTAGATTTGACTTCTATAGACATCTCAATGTTTTTATATTCTTCATATAAAAAATCTGAAAAAACTTGTTTTCGGAGTAGCTGTTAGACTCGATAAGTTTAACTCAGTTTTAACAGTGACCAAGTCAGCCACCAAGTTTTGAGTTTTAGAAGGCTGAGAACAAACTTGGGTTCCAGAATGAGGTAGGATACCACTATACCACTAGGCCATGGGGCAAATTGTGATCTGATACACTTATGAGTTTGTGTACACTTTAGTTGGATGCATTATGCCTAAAGAGAGTTTGCTTCAGTTTTTTTCCCCTTTCCCACACTACTCGTCTTCTTAAAAATATGGATATTTCAGAATTTTCATTCCGTGTCATTTTCCAACCATAAAAAAGTTGGGCCGTAACAACAATTGCAAAGCATACAGCTATATACGCCTGAAAACATATTTACAAGATTGACAATTGTCTACAAAGATTGCAAGATTGTAACTAGATAAGCCTCTCATTTAGCATTCATAAGGACTGCATGTTCAGATGAGGACCTCAAATAAGATTCGACTCTGAGCCATCAATTCTATTCCAAGACCTGATCTACCATTAAAAGCTGAAAATGTAAATTGCTACCAATTTCCAGATGCCAGTGAGCACTATTTGGGACTTAATACAGCTGAATTTTCCTTCCAAGGTTCGTGTCCAGCTATGGTTTTCATTTATTTCATCAGATAATTTTCATATGGATACGCATGTTGATCATACAAGTTGATGTGTTTTTTAAAGTGAAATAATTTCATTTGTCAAATTGTAATTCACATAAAACTGGAACATATTGACCTAAATAACTGTAAGAACAATTTTTCAGAGCCTCGGCTAAGGGAGGAGTGTTAGCTCAATTTGTCTATGTTTTAGGAGTATTGATAGACTCCTGCCAAACCTCCAAGGGCTGTTTCCTAACTACTTTGGTCCCTTTATACTTTTTCGATAGGTGATTCAAATCTTTCTAGCTCATCCTCTGCCTACCAAAAATTATTTATTTATGGATTGAAGACTTGACTTCGTAGCAACTTCCTCCTTTAAATATCAAGATTCCACCCCAATGCCAATGGTGAATTGTAATCCAAGTTTTCCCGAAGTTCCTTCTCACAATAATAAAGATGAAATCAGTGTCATTTGATTGAATCTTTATTGAAACAATGCTCAACATCCAAATTGCTTACTCCAAGAAGCTAATTATATGGTCCCTTGGGCTATCATATGGATCAAGTGGCCAATAACGCGTATAGAGTCAAAGATAAATTCTCAAGCAATGACATTTAGATTATCAATACAAAATGGAAGAGAAGAAGACCCTTACTGTACTGTAGTTTCACTTCCACTATGCATTGATCATAATAGGATACCATTAATTAATCCCAAATGATGTCCCTGCCTTACTACACCAAGAATATCATCATGTATCACAGTCTCACACAATCTTCAAGTTTGAATACAACAATCCCTATGAATTACAAACAAATGAGAGATTAGTTGTAGTTGAAACCTTGTAGATGGTAGTATATCATATAATTATGTGCTTGAAGCTTATCAGATCCAGAGTCTTTGTAATTATTTCAAATACATGTTTTAGGTCCTTTCCATGGAGCAATGCTGGTAATTTTTATGAAAGCTGCAAATACGAAACAAGATCCACATCATATATATATCTATCTCAAGAACACTCGAGATGGTCAGAGCAAAACATTAAGACTCTAAATCTTAGACCCTTCCCTTCTAACATCAGAATTTTATTATTTTGTTTCCCGTCGATCCTTCCCTATTCATGAGCATAACCATTTAACCGTATTTTAAAGCATTGATTCTATTGTTTATCATATTATTATATACGTTGAATTTGACCAGCCTCAAGTGAATATTCCACTCACATAAAAATCCTTATTTGATGCATAAGTCGTGAAAGTTCGAGCCTCTCCTTGAGGATATGCCTAAAATTCATAAACCATTTGAAGGGATTTCCATATTACTTCAAAAAATGGGTAGAAGTTCAACCTTTGCAGTTATTTTGGACAAGGTTTTCCATAAAATTCTGTTAATACTTTTGAAAGAATGTTCATCTACCCTGCAGTCCTTAAGTTTGTAACTAAAAGTGTGAAAGACCTAGTTACATCTGAATTTTAGCATATACATGGACTCTAAACCTTTTAAATAGAGTTGCAGTCACATCATATTGCCCAGCAGAAGGACCGCAGTATTAACCCGATGCAAGACAGGATGTCTCTTATTTTTTTTATTTTTCAACTAAAATCTTCGGAGATATTCTTAGGATCTCTAGGTTTACTTTTAGGCTATTCAGTTTTTTGGGATTTTAGGGTTTTTTAGATTTTTTTAGGATTTTAGGGACTCTTTGAAACCATAGTTAGATTCCTTATGGAATTAATTATTTTATCAGAGGTAAAACATCATAACAAATTTTGTTGTAATTATGACTTCTAATTTAATTAGAATTAGAATTTCGTAGGGTCCTAAGTAAGGTATTCCTAAGTAAGGTATTCTATTAGAAATAGGTGTTGCATTAGGCTTTTTCTTTCAGAAATGAATATTATTTGTTTTAAGACTCATGGTTAAACCAGATGGGTAAGCAGCTTGGTTTGTAAGCTTCAACCATTATTTTCAATCAAATTTTTCGAATCTTTATTTTCTTTCAAATCTTTATTTTCTTTCTATAAATTCTCCACTACATTAGTTGGTATCAGAGTAGGCCAATTCCGAAAGCGCCTGAGGATCTGCTACAAGTTTGCTGCTATAGAAGGTCAAGTTCGTGGTGGAGGTATCAAAGTTACATGGAAGGAATTTAATGATTAGAAAAGGAGGCTCAAGGAACTGGTGTACAAGGTATGTCAAATATGGCTGAATCGAAGGAAATTCGACAATTTGGTGCACAAGTTGTTCCCAACCTGTTTTGATCGATGTTCATTCATTCATGATGTTGGCATATCTGAAACCAATCATAGTAATAGGTCAGATTTAACAGATTTTTGTTCACCTCACAACCTGAGGGTTAATCTCGTAGTGCATGAGGGAAGTTTGGTTTGTGATCTAGAATAGAGATACCATGGACCATGGAGAAACTTTATTCTCATCAAATTGTTTACAAAATCCGTACGTTGTAAAATGGGACTCGCTGCCAATCTTTGACACGTGCTCAGGTAAGAATTTTGAGTTTTGCAAAAAAGTTTGAGTTTGGGTGAATACTTGCAGTTGGAGAAGAGATTAGTTGTTGAAAAGGATGAAGAACAGGGTGATGATGAGGTGAATCTCGAAAACCTTGATGGACTTGATGGGTGAAAATCTAGGGTTTGATGAAGAAGTTGCAAGTTTTGTTTGTTCTAGAACTAAATAGGGGCAATTTCAGCCGTTCTTGCAGCAAAATTGAGGCAAAGCTAACAAGTTTATGTAGCTCAATCGAGCATGTATATCACAATTACTCCATCGACATATAGTGACCCTTTCCTTGTATTCTCAACAGGAATTTACGTTCTTATTTAGCTATTCACAAAGCTACAATCTACAGTACCAATGCACAATCACTTTATTTTGATTGGGCCAGTAAACCATAGGTCCATGATTCAAGGCACAATGTTCAGGTTGAAGAAGCCTTAGTATCAATTTTTCAATATAAAATATCAAGATCCTTTTCTTGAGGACTTCTCTATACCACCATATTCTTAGAGCCAGCAAAGAAGATGATCGCAGGCTTAGCAAAGAATTCATCTAAGAACACTCCAAAACTCGTTGACGAGTTTTCTTCAACCAAGGAAGTCTGATGCACTACAAGATGCCTCTTATTATTGAATGTTCTCAAATATTTCGTGATATATTTTTTGGAGTTTTAGGGCTTATTTTTATGCTTTTTCAAAAACTTTAGGGATTTAGAGTCTTTTTTAGTTTTTTTAGGATTTTAGGGGTTGTTTGAAATAGTAATTAGAGTCCTTGTGCAAGTATGTATGTTATCAGGGGTAAAAATTCCATACAAACTTTTTTTGTAATTAGGACTTCTAGTTCAATTTGAGATGAGATTTCTTAGGTGCTCATAAGTAAGGTCTTTTATTAGAAATAAGTGTTGTATTAGGGTTTTTCATTCAGAGTTGAATATTCTTTGTTTTGAGAGTCCTAGTTAAACCAAATAGCTACAAAACTTGGCTTGTAAGCTTCCAAAATTATATTGAATCAAATTTTCATCATCATCATTCGAGCCTTATTCTAAGTTAGGCTAAATTTTCAATCAAATTTTCAGTTGTTTATGTTCTATTAAGTAAGGTCTTTTATTAGAAATAAGTGTTGTATTAGGTTTTTCCATTCAGAGTTGAATATTCTCTGTTTTGAGAGTCCTAGTTAAACATGAGAGCTACAAAACTTGGCTTATAAGCTTCCAAAATTATTTTTAATCACATTTTCATTGTCATCATCCGAGCCTTATTCTAACTATTTGGGTTCGGCTAAATTTCCAATAAAATTTTCAGTTGTTTAATTTCTTTCTGTATATATGTCTACTGCATTATGACCTTGACACCCCTGCAGTTTTTGGGATTGTCAAAGAGAAGCCATTTACCTCACCCTCAGCCAATACCATTTCTCCCTCGGAAGTGCTTCCTCGAACATCATATCACATGGGACCAACACTTTGTATTTTCCAAGATTAATATCTTCATAGGTTTATGTCAATAATAGCAGCCATGTTCATGCCATATGCACATGCATTGTTTTTAAATGCGGCCGCATCCTGCATTATGCACTATGCGGTTTGAGGTGCATTACATTAGGCTGCATATTCACTAGCTCGTGATGAGCCCGCATATGCAGGGCATCACCTACACATGCTGGCACAGGGCATAATGGGCTATGGACCCGCATATGCAGCTCACACTCATGGGTAGAAAGTTGGCCCACGAGTGTAGCCAAATACATAATCCATTCCCCGCCCCCCGGTTCTTAGAGGATCAAACCAAAAAAGAAAGAAAATTATACTTGGATTTTTTCTTTAATCGTTTTTGAAAAAGAGTAAAAGATTATTTTGGTTATCCGTTTAGATTGTCTTGGGTAACATTTTGAAGATATACATGAGGGGCCCAATGATAGTGATGATGATGCCTCTATAGCATCGGCTTCAGACGTGGGAGATGCACATGCATGTACATGAAGGATCATCATATGACTTGTCAGATTGAGAGTTGAGACTTAAGAGTTGATTATTATCTTTTTGTTGTTTTTTATGTCATCATAAAATTTTGGTTGTGGTCCCTTTGGAGTTTAAACTTTAGAATTTGGAATTTTGGATGTCTATGTGAAGTTTGAAATTTTGGATATATTTTATGACACGGAATAGATCTCTTTATTTTACATGTTAGATGTATTAGACATTCAAACTATTCAAGATTAGAGGCTAAAAGTTAAAACAACAAACTCTATTACTCTTAACCAGCTATTAGGGGACTCAAGCGTCTTAGACAGCTAATCATCATCATCCGAGCCTTATCCCAACTATTTGGGGTTAGCTATACGAATCATGTTCCGTCATTCTTCTCTATCAAGAGCCATACCCTCAGTTAGACCATAAGTCACTATATCTCTAACATATTAGATATAATGAAAAAATTAAAATACATATTATTGCATAAATCAAATCTGTGTTTTTCTATGCATTATAATTTTTTTATGAATATTTAAAATTTTCTAAATCTAGTGACCACATCAAAGGCGATGCACCCACATCAAGCTGCATCACCACATCGGACCCCGACAGCAATGGGTCCACATCCTGCATTTTAAAACAGCATTCGCATGTACTATTGGAGCAGTGATGATTTTTCCCCTAAAGATCATCTCATTGTTTTACAACAGGCATCTCATTGCCAAAGATGAATGTTTGTAACAGTAATTATCAGTATTCCAGCCATCACCAGTCAAATTAAGGTCAAAACTTTAAGGTAAAATGAGCCATCACATACCAATTCCCACTAATACTATCCATTAATAATCCCTGATGGCACAATGAGCAGTCTGCAAAATCCTTTCTCTTGGGGATTCAGGGTTTTAAAGTTCACGTCATAAAATTCTGCAAGAACAAGTTTGATCTGTGTCTATGCAATTTCCAGAGTTAGCTTCGGCAAGAAGGAAAAGTTGCCAAAGCCTTCTTATGCGCGTTAAAAGACACCTAAGATCATGAGATAATCTCCACTTTCAACAAAACCCATTGTGCAACAAAGACTTGTCGAAGTCCCTAAATCTGCGAAGTTGGGAGGTTCAACAAAGGAAACAATGTACTTAGCTAAGTTTTAGCAAGGTAACTGAACTTTAGCTACTGCACGAGTTATTACAAAGCATAAGTGCACTTAAGCTCTTTGTGAGTTGGCTTCCAAGTTTTACTAGTTACTACCATGTCTTTGTTCATGGTTAGCACTATTGGGCATCTTAGATTATCCATCCAGTTGCACCTAAACCAAAATATTTTTATTTTTATTAAACCCAAATCACAATATTTAATGAATGCAAAAGTACTTGGCAAACAGAAGAGCGAAAACCAAAACTATTTTGCATTAAAAAACTTTTTAAGTTCTAAATGAACCAATAAATAGTCAGTTGCTTCAAAACAAACTCACTAGATATATAAAAAGAAAGAGAGCTCCACCTACTAAAAGGTCAGTGGGGTTGAGGTCAAGGTGGTAACACCACCTGTGGCTCAGCTATCAGTCTCAGTTTCCATTCCTACCAATGCTAAACCCTTTTAAAAACTACTAATGGTTTCAAAAATTACTAACCTACCACTAACAGTTAACATTCAAAAAAGAAAAAAAGTAGGTTAGTGCGATGAGTGATCCAAATCAAGCTCTCGTATTATAAGAGTACCAGCAACATGCACTCAAAGACTACACAGAAGACTTTCTGTTTTTATATAAGCAATAAATGTTAAAACCTGATATTTATACGGTTTCCAATTCAAACTAGTAGTCTCAACGTTCTTTCAAGCATGGTTGTCAAAAATTAAACCAGATTGTGGATAACTGCTTTGGAAGACGGTCAAGAATCAACGTAGATGTTTACCAAGGTAACATGTCCATTTTCTGTAGAAGACATTGTCTTAGCAAAATTTGTCTTGAAGTTCCATCTTAATATGGACATCAAAGAACTCTCCTCTATCACTGCAAAATTTGGTAAAGATCTGTAGAACATAAGACCAGGATCAATATCAATGCAGAGATACAGAAAAGACGTTAAAGGCTGTAGTAACATATGAATTCTTAACTATTCAGATGAAAACAAATATTTAATGGAGAAACAAATTCAGTCAAAATCGGATTTTCTGCGGTAAGTGAGATATATTGAAAGAAAGATGCAGTAGTAATTAATATACCTTATCTCCAGGAGTCCATTCTGGTAAAGTAAGATCAGTCCGTATGCATTTTCCTCTTTGCTTCTGAAAGTTGCTGACCAACAGCAAGGTTGTCCTAAACTTGCTTTGTAAATGGAATTGTTTTCCCCCTAACAGAAAAAGGAAGCACTTTATTTGCAGGGAAAGAAACTCAAGCCACTAGAGCAAATCATTTGTGCATCTTAAGACAATCCCAAAGAGCATTCAAGAAAAGATCACCTGTATCACCGATGACAAACCGTACAGCCGCAATGCATCTTCACAACATAGTAAGAGAAGAGGATTCATAAGTCTCTGTTCTGAATATGATGTGGTTTCTTCCAAGTGCAGCAGTTCATCTCCTGACTTGCTTCCAGAAGGAGAATCACTTCCTTTAGAATCCATTTGACTGGTGTCCTCCATAAACAATTGCTTTGAGTGCTTATCTTTTTTCAAGCCAGAGATAGAATTACCACCATCTAAGAGAGTTTTTAAGCCAGCAGGAATCAATCAGAAACAGGAAAAAACATGGTTATGTTGCCAGGTTCGATACAATCATTGAACTTGCAAACAAGAAAATTACTTGCCAATGATATGCATAGCGACAGCAATTGATTCACTTTTCGGATGCACTGGTCGGGAGCTTATCATACTACCACTAAGGCCATTGAAGATAACTATGCGGGCATTCCTTGTTAGGACAAACAAGAATTCAGAGCCTGCAGTTGAATCCTGCTTAGGACTTTTGGATTCCACGACTTTTGGACTATTTACTGGACTATCTAAAGGTTTAAATGATTTTAAAATCACTGAAATAACCGAGGTGCTTGAGCCAGGTATGGAGTCTGTCAGAAACAAAACTAAGAATGATCTAATGTCAAGCATGGAAACCTGCAAATGACGAAAATTGATCATTTATAACCAATTACTATCTAATGTATTCAACTAATGGTCCAACCCCTAATATGAAATCCTAAAATTGGAGCATATGTTAATGTCATACTTGCCTGGCCATTTCCACATCCAACAGCAATATGACCTCCGCTGGTTGAATATGTAAGAGCACTAATAGAGGATTTAAGTACTGAAAACATTGCTGCACAATGAAATCCTTCATAGTGTAAACTATGAGCTGCAAGCCAAATCAGATTCAGTATTACCCAGTTGTCTTGGAGCAGATGCGAAGAGAGAGTAATTAGATTGCAACACTCATTTGAAGTGATCAGGAAAAGTAACTTGCCCATTAGATTATTTGTCAACAAAAGAAAAGTACACTATGACCCATATGAGCATATAAACTCTATGGTCAAGGTGAAAATCACCAACTCATCGTCCAATCAATACATGGATGACCATGGAAACAGAGAGCGGGACCAACTGCTTGGGTCATGTCATGTTCTTGTGGATCCCATTCTCTTCTCCATCACCATCCATGGATTGGTTGACTGGGGACACTTAGACCATAGAGAAAAACCACGGAAAGAGTTTAGGTGACTCAAGACTGAAAAAGAATAAACTAGGATATCACAAACATGAGCAACGGCACAATTATAGAAAATGCTCGGGATTGGATTGTCACTAAGAGAAATGAGGCAAGTAAAAAATCACATCAGACCATATGTTGTTAAGAGATCAAATACAACATCAGAAAATACTCAGAAAAAAAAAATTGAACATAACATGAGTGCATCAGCTCAATTTGGCTACAATGAGACCATGATCATCTCGGTTGGCAACCAATAAACAAACTATGCTTCACAAGTTATGTAAGATTCCTTTATTCATACGAAGTACGAAAGTTTTCCGGTGGATTGTTTCTGGGAATGATATGCACATGAAAGAACATGAGTTGCTGTGTTTGTTATCTAAGTAATCCATATTCCAAGATAAGCTATTAATCGTCCTTCATTTAGCCTTACCAATGGCTAGTCAAGATGGATGGGTTTACCACCCCCATCCACTCTCATGGTTGTATTCATAGATTTGAGGTCCTTCAAGTAAGTCAAGTAAAAAATGTATTATATATAAAAAGAAATAGAACCATACAGTGGATAAATATACCTTCACTCACTGTTTCACTCACAAACTGACAGCCCATTTCACCAGAGCCTCCTACTAGTGTATATACTCGGACCTGCAAAAGTGTGAGAATCAGCAATCACAAGTTAGACACATAGAATTAATAACATATCAGCATTCAGCCATCACTAGCAGTACCAACCAGTCCACATTCATTGCCAACAGCAAGACTCCCTGAGACACAACAAAATTCCAAAGCAGAAACTGGAGCACGGTCACCAGGCACTTTGATTCCATTTATCTGCATATCATATGATCGATGTTGCATTCAATTAACATATTCAAAGAAAACTTTCAGAAACATCTGCCCCGAAGGAGTGGTTTCCAACTTGCTAAGATTCTCACAATTATATTTGTTGTACTCAAACAGAAGTATAAAACATAAGATACGAAGCTCAAACCTCGCCTTCTAGAACAAAAAGAATAGAAAACACAGGATTTGTTGCATCCCATATCCGTACAGATCCATCTTGATATCCAGCTACATACATCCGTTCAATCCCTAAACCTTCACCAAGAGCTGTACTGGGAACTCCACCAGTCAAAGGCCAATTTGTACCAGCTGGTAGAACAGGTAGTGGTTGACCTTTCCCTGCTGAAGCAACCTACAACATATACATCAAAAGTTAAATTCGGTAAAAGGAAAGTGAATTTGGCCTTGCAAACTAAGAAAAAGAACCATCTAATTTCAAGTCATCAAATGTAGAATAGAAATGGAAATATACCTCAGATAGTATTTTTGAATAGTTTCCACCCTTGGGAAGTGTAATAAGCTTTCCCACAGTTATGCAAGGATCAAGCAAAGGAATGAGCTCTGGAAAGGGCTCTGGCTGGATTTGAGGTTTCTCCTCCTGTGGTGAAGATAATGTACACAAGCTGGTACCGTCATATGCATGCAACTGTCCTGGGTTTGTTAACACAAATAGAGATGCAGCTGGATCCATCAAAGTGGACCCACCACCAGGCAGCAAAATCATGTCAGCAAAAGATCCATGAAGTGTAAGATCCAGACGAGAGACACATCTTAAACTCTCCAACCTTGAAGACCACTCGAGACTCAAAACCTGTGGATATTAAAAACAACTTGGATGATCAATCAGTATAGGTTTTACTGTCCTGCTAAATATGAAAAAAATAATTAAGCAATGCTAGCAGCAAGTTAAGCATCGGTCAAGACTAAAGAACAAAACAAGCTTAACAATCTGAGAGGGACAAGTTTATGTTGACTGAACTACCAAAAAGGTCATAAAGGAAACATGTGGAGAAGTCATAAAAAACAGTATCTAACAAAGAGAAAATATTAGGAGGAATACACATAAAATGGTTCGTGAAAGTAGTGGTCAGCCTCACAACAATGAAAATGCCAAAAAATAAAAGGTTTTGCATCCAATTTTTTATTACAGTAGTTAGTTTTGCATTCCTTACCTCATCATCATTATCATCATCAAATCCTTTTCTCAATAATTTGGGGTCAGCTACACGAATCTGGGTCCGTCATTCTGCTCTATCAAGGGCTATACCCTCAGTGAGGCCATAAGTTCCCATATCTTTTCTAACTACTCCCCTTGAACTTACCCCTTGCCCTTTTTGAGCCTTCCACTTGAACCAACTCCCACTTCCTAACAAGTATCGTTAGGGGTTTATGCTGCATATGACCAGCCCATGTAAGTCTACTTTCTCTCATCTTATTGCCCATTAGAGTCACACCTAAGTTCTGAATGTATTCATTTTGAATTATATCCCTTCTTATCTTGCCACTCATCTATCTCAACATCCTCATCTCAGCTATACTTGTTTCTTGACCGCCCAACATTACGCCCCATAAAGCAAAGCTGGTCTCATAGTGTCCTATAGAACTTCTCTTTCAACTTCATTGGTATGTGGGGATCACATAAAACTCTGGTTGCACATCTCCACTTTGCCCACCCAGCTCTAATTCTATGTGCGACATCTTCAGCAATCTCTCAATTTTTTTGGATTATCATCCCAAGATATTAAAAGTATGCTCTTTTTGGTTTCTTGGCCATCAATCTTAACTAGTTCCTCATCTTTATTCCTATTTTTACTAAACTTGCATTCTATATACTCTGTCTTTGTCCAACTAATTTTAAAACCTTTAGATTCTAGAGCATCTCTCCAAAGTTCAACTTTGTGTTGACGCTGCTTCAAGTCTCATAAATCAAAACAATGTTGTCTGTGAATAACATACATCATGGTACCTCATCTTGTAAGTGCCTAGTTAAGTCGTCCATTATTACGACAAAGAGGTATAGGATCAATGCCGATCCCTGATGTAAACCTATTGTCACTGAGAACTCACTCGTCTCTCCACTAGTTGTTCGCACACTAGTTTAGCGTGCTTGACCTAATATGTATAATTCAACAAGTGCTAACGAGATGTGCTAATCTCAACAATATACTTCAACAAGCAGAAAAAAGAAACAAATGTTCGGCAAATCAAACTAAATAAAAGGAAGTTTTCCCTATACAATAGAAAGTTAAATAATCCAAGTATTTACAATATCATGAAGCCATATCCCAAATTAAATTGACAAAACTTGAATTAAATATTAAATAGCAAAAGGTCACCCTCATAAATGTAATGTACTTTAACAAGATGAAAGCCTAAATAATATCTTGTAGAAACAAACAGGGAAGACTTTACCGTCAGGACTTCCTCAGATCCTATTTCATCACCACCGTAAATATAAAGTTGGCCACCACAGCCATTCTTGGATTTCTTAGTGGCACTCCAGTGTAAAACAATGACAGGAATCCTTCTCTTTCCAGAAGATAACTGAAGCTTGACAACATTACTAGATAACACAGCCACTTTTTCTTCCTTTGTGCTTGAACCTGATGAAATATTCCAAAAGAGAACATCTCCATCAGTGTAACCCACAGCAAGCACAGACCCATCTGCCGATGCCCAACAGAGGGAGCATATCTCCTTCTCCTCGTGATCAAGATCAGAACTCTGACCACAGGTTTCAGTTTCAGTGCTACTTTGATTTTTAGCACCACCCTCATTCTTCGCTTGAAGATCAGTGTAACCTCTGACCAGAACAATGCGATCTTCACTAACATCCCAGAGAATGATCAAGCCATTGTCATAAGCTATAAGTACCCTGCTGAACAAGCATAAATTTTCATCTTAAATAGAACGATGATGCCTGCATCAGAGGTATGCACAAAAAGAAGGCAGAAACCTTTCGAAAAATAGAGACATGATCATGAGGCAGAAGCAAATTAAATTCATTAAAAGACCAGGAAAAAATAATCAAAACATAATGTGTAAAAAAGAATATTCATTAAGACATACACAGATTCAATAGGAAAGGAAAGAGTTATGAACTATAGTCATGAACTACTTACCTACGATTTGCAATACATGGTTGTGGAAAGACACCAACAACAGAGGGGTGCAAAGTTACAGATATTTTTGCAGCATCTGGGGAAAGAAAGGATGATTTATTCTCGAGTAAATAACGAACTGACAGAAAATATAGATTTGCACTTGTTCATGATACATAAAAGATGATAAATTCGGAAACAACAAGTTATACAAGTTGTCACCTTTGAATTTTCTTCCAAGAAAATGTATAAGCCAAGGAAGTTAGTTGTGAAATCAAGTCAAAACTAAAAAAATCTCAAGAAATACCTATATTAAACACCAATATAGCCATATACAAGATACAGAGAAATATTATAGAAAACAATGAATTTCTAGGATTGAATTTCTAACTGTAAGCAGGTTCCAACTTCTATCACAACTGCAGCAATTTCGAGGTTTCTGTAACTAAGGAGATAATAAGATTGCAATATCTGCTCTTCATTTCCTTCACTACAACCAATAGGCTACAGTAACCATAAAGTTTACAAGCATTCCTTAAAATTGCATATATGCATTTTGTGCTGTAAATTAGACCGACACACAGGGAAATATGCTTTTCTAAAAATTTCATGCCAACTCATTAGTAGTATCTATAGACATGACATAGATATCCAAATCAGTGTGTGCATCAAGGAACTTAGTGACTGCTCAAAGTTCTCAAAGTAGCAACAGAGTCTTACAGTTGAATAATGTCAGACATGCCAAGCCATCGACTTTTGATCAAGTTTGTATGGAATATAGCTTACTTCTGTATCATGATGTGCATGACTTCTTATTCGTTCAATCACACATTTTTTTCCTCATCATACAGTTGTAAATTAAGCCCATATAGGGTTACATACAATGTTAGTGAGAATAATGTTGAGTGAGAATTTTCTGCATATCCTCCACTAATGTATCACTTTGACTTTCAATTGATTTTGTGACAATATTCCAATTTTGACAAACTCAACTTGTTTCTGCACATCAGTAAGTTCAAATCGAGTTTCTTAAGCTTCAATTTGTGCAAGTGTAATGATCCTTGGTGTTTCAATCCCTGAATCTTTTTAGTCCAACTTTTCCTTGTTCTTCGTTCCTCTCACTTCTACAAAATTTCAATATATAAAAAGAAAGTATTATGTAGTAATAACAACCAAAAATTCAAAAAAGGTCCACCGCAGGTTATAAGAAGTAACAACATCCTCATTTTTAATTGAAGACAAAATACTCAAATGAGTACTACGAAAGATATTTATTCTTTGGGGCTATGAACTCCACACGAAATTCGATGCAAAATTATAATTAGAAATGGAGACTTCCAAAAGAGCATCAAAAGGATAGAAAAAAGCCGACTCACCTAACGCAACAGTTGCTGGAATCCGGTATGGTAACAGCAAGAGCTTTGCTTCTTCCACATCAAATCTCAACACAGACATTACCCCATATTCATCCCCAACATACCTGTAATCATTTGTGACACTATATTAGATTTCTAACCAGAAGAAAAACAATTATCAGCCTCATCCGTTCAATCTAGCAACAGGCAAACAAGGGAGATGATGGGGAAGTCATCAATGGCGTACATGAAAGCAGTGCCTTGAATTACAGAAAATGCAGTTATATTGGATTCCCATTGTAAATAACATGCCACATGCCTGTGTTCAAGATCCCAGACCTACAAAAACATGGAAACCTCAATTCAGGTAAAGACTTTGTTATAATTGGCAAGAAGAATAACAGCAGCTACGGAAAAGAAAATCTATGTATAGATAATTAAAAGAAAAGCAATAGCCAATGTGACCTAGATGCATTTCAGACATTGAACAGAAAAGGAATAACAATGGCTAATGGGCACCATATTGGAGAAAATGTCGAGAAAGTATCCAAACAAACAGTAAGGCTAAAAATTAACAGATTCAGAAAAACAAAAAAAAGAAGTAAGACTACAGACATAATAATATTGTATATGTATTTGTCCAACATTCAATAGGATAAACAATGGAAGAACCAGATCCCAACCTAAGCAGTAAGATTCAAAATGAGGACATTGGTTCACTACACAAATACTATTCCGTAATTCATGCAAAGCAGCAAGTCTCATTACTGACGTCCTCCACGAGAAGCCAAATAGAAGACAAACATAGATAAACGTAACACCAAAGGAATTTCTAAGAACTGAAGAATCGTGACAAAAAGATTATTAAACAGAAAATGGATTATAATAAATATTGTCAGATATCATTTGAAGTGAGTTCTTCTTCTTATGGGTCCTTTTGCACGCATGTACAGATGATGAAATTGGCATTTAGGTCATCAATATATCATGTTGATAGAACTATGTCCATAACATAAATGTAGAGGCAGTTGCAATTTCCATGCAAACTCAGTGCAAACACCTCAAATCACTTAACAAATAGGCAGGCTCATATTTATTTACATAGGTCGTCTACCCTCACAAGGCCCACATCAAAAACTTGATAAAAAAAGCATGGTCTGATCTACACCACTATCAATAGCCATGTGTTCATGGGACGATGCCACGGATAAATATGACTATACGACCCAGTGAAGTCCTGAAAGGTGTTAATCTAGGCAACACCACTATGGGACTGCATTCATTGTAAGTATGGTGCAAGTACAGTGTAAGTAAGAACCTAAAAGACCACAGAAGTTTCCAAAAAGAACAATAGAGATATGGAAAGCAAGAGAACATTGGTAAGGAAGTGACAGACCATAGTTCGCATGGAAGGAGCACAAAATAAAGGGACACGTAATGTGGCTCACTAAGGTTGTAGATATCTAGACACAAGCCAAATAAGAGGGACATATCTTTTGATCAATGAACTTGTCTGGGTACCCAGTTATCCCAAATGAGTACATAAAGTTTCTTGACAACCCAGCAAACACTCGAAAAAACTTCAGTCCGTATGACTTTAAAGGAAATCCCCATAAGAAGAGGAAATCCATTTTATGACAATTATAGCATAACTCTATAAGTTTCCATAGCTTATCCAACAAAATGACCAGTTAATATTCCACTAGGTGCAGAAACTTTTAACAATATGTCAATAGGGAGCAATCAAATTATAAACACAAACAAATATTTCTTGGCATGATTTACTCATATTAAACAATGAGTACCACTCCACATCAGTTCATGATGAGAAGAATAGTACATAACAGAAAAGGAAATATGAGACCTTGTGCTAGTAAACTACATGAGTGAAAGAAATGAAATATGCCAATAACTTATTGTTAAAATTAATCAAGAGAACTGCAATGCACAAGCATTACCCGGATGTCATTTTCATTTGAGACACTCACAACATAGCCTTGATTATGCAAGAACTGAGAGAGAAAAAACCGAAGGAAAAAGGTTAAGAACAGATATTAAAAAGTAACGAACAAAGTACAAGAAAGCAAATTGAACTATAATTAAATCCTGAAAGTCACACAAAGTTTATAAAAGAACACCAAGAGAAAGAAAAAAGAAGGCAAGCTCAAATTACACCATCAATGACATAAGATGCACTACTGCTTCACGATGCAACAATCCATTAAGTATCTATCATCTTTTTAATTTCCTGCAATACCTTAAAACTGCAAAATATGACTTTACAAACTTGGAACATGATCAGATTCAAATTCACAAAAATAGCATCTTCATAGAAATGGGCAACTTTGACAACAAAAAATAGCCAACTTTTATGACACAAAGTCAAACATAAGGATACAAACAAATCCAAGCATCTCTGAATCCATTACCTAACTCCCATATCATCCCAGACCTAGAATCTCCAATACATGACTTCTAGGGAACAAAAAACATGGCTTCATTCAATTTTCTAAAACTGATACCTTTGCCTTTGTTATTCAATAAAATAAACATACTAAATTTGGTATGCAGATGACATAATTTGCGTGGTATCAATTTATGCACAAAAGCTTCGTTGATACCAACAGAAGACTAACCTGATTCCAATTTCGGTGCTTACAAAATATTGTTTGGTAGTGTCTCATTAATTTATGTTGGAATTATCGGTTACAGTACAATTAACCCAGTCTGTCAAGTTCATTAATTGTATACAACTATTCCGATATCCTCCACAGCTGCAAGATTTGGTCCATGCTTAAGGGCAGCTACTTACACAGCCATATTTGTATTCCTTCCAAGTTGTTCAGTCAAACAAGCAGTCAAATATTGTAAGTAATTTCTAATACTGCTCCACCAAGAGGACTATTTGCTTGTTTCATTTCTATGGCATTCCAAGCTTACCCAAACTCCCTTTTCACTTGAACTCAAAACAGTACCACTCTCAAACAAAGCTGTCATGACATTTATTTGTATTATACTGATGGAACACTATGAGAATATATAAATTCACCATCATAATGCCATTATACATTAAACAAGAGCATAGGTGTCTAAAGAAAACCAACATTTCTATGAGGAACACTTGAATTTCAAAGAAATAAATGATTATTGAAGATTTATACACCCTTACCTGCCATGATAAAAAAAATTTGAAAGAAACATGACACATCAAAAACAGACTAATTCAAATGAAACCATAGAGAACCATTAATATGATTGAACAAAAATATAACTGACCCCATGGAAGTAAAAAACTACCTTCATGTATGGAAATTAACTTAAACTCAAAGGAACCTCAAGTTAGATTCTTGTGAGCTTCTAGAGGGCTTTGGAGTGTAACAGAGACTTGTAAGTAGGCACATTTGCCTTGCCATCACACTCAATAGACAACTACACACACATTGTGAACTTGGTGATCATGCATGCTTCAACAGCTGGGAATCACAACGCAATGAATCCCAAAGGATCTAAGTGAACTACTAGAAAAGGAATGCCCTATGACCGAGTGATGATCGTGGGTGAAATTTTATCGATGCTGACTTGGCTGAATCACCATTAGACGAAAAGTCCACCCTAGTTTTCTGAACTTTTGGAAGAGGAAGCTTGAGAAAGGAAAAAGAACAGGCATTTATTGCCAGATCAAGCACAAAGGCAAAATAAAGAGGTGCCTTTACAGCCTCTAATATCATCAAGTTTCATGCCCTAGTAAAATTATTGGCCTTGAGGTCACTTTAGACATGCATCATCAAATTCATTAAGCAATCCATATCGATTTCTAAATCACTTTTTCAGTGAGAGTGACACATATAAAATGATATTCGTCAAATGTTCGAGAAAAATTCAAAAGAAAGCATCAATTCGACAGCGTACTTTAGAAGAAGACCATCTTTTATTTTTATTGATAATGAAGTGAAGTCAATCTTGCAAGCATGTTTACAGAGATTTTAAGCAATAATCAGTAACTTGTGCATGACAGATATTTATGCAGCAGTTTGGGGGCAGCAATGCAACATAATTTGCTAGTTCGTGACATTCAACAATTAAAGTGACATTGTGGAATTATTATTGCATCATGATGTCATACCCATGCACGCTCCAAAAATGATGCAATATACCCTTGTGAATAGAGGTATTTCAGCCATAAATTACCATCCATTGAACAGGTTAGAACTGCCCTTCAAGGTTTGAGGAACAAACATATTTTTCAATGCATAATTTACAAGTATGCATGAACTTGTACAAATAATAAATTGCAGGGCACATGAAATTGGAAATAAAGATACTCACTATGATAACAAAATATTAAAAGGTAAAACCAAATGACAAACAACATAATATTAAAATGCAAAAGAAATAAATGAAGAACAATTATAGCAGAAAGTATCCAGATGAATGGTGTACAATTAGTGGGACCTATGCCAATATATTTACAAGTATGCATGACCTAGATAATAGATTGCAGGGCACATGAAGTTGGAAATAAAGACAGGCACTGTGATAACAAAATATTAAAAGGTTAAACCAAAAGACAAACAACATAATATAGAAAAGAAAAAGAAAGAAATGAAGAAGATCAAACTTTGAAAAACATGCAGAACAAGATAACACAACAACAAGAAACTGATTTTGAATCATCCATAGGACATAAAAAAGCCCACAAAGACATACAATGAAAGCCTATATAAATTGGGAGGCATAAAACAGTGGAACACCAAGAAAAGTTTCAGCATGAAGATATGCTAGCTCACCGACAACAATTCCTTTCAATGGACTAAGAATCAAATGATACATCTTTTTATCAATGTGAGATTAAATTAAAGTGATAGAAGTACTACCACTATAACAACTACATGATAAAAATGGCATAGATGTTGAACTTGATAACTCGACAATTAATTCATTAGAAATTATTGGTACAATTAAATTGTATGAAGCATAGTCATGTCCATAGTGATAACTGCAAGCACAAACAAGGAGAAACTCATACTGGATATCCAATTAATGAAGGATGAATTTTATATCACAAACCTCCAAATGTTTATAAGGGGCCTTGATCGGTGATACAAGAAGGCATTCAATATTATCCCCACCTATAATTTTTATTCTTCCATCCCTGCAAAGTGAGAACAGAAAAGAAATCACCGCATGTAAAAAGGAAAGCAAGACATGATTTGGAAAGGAATAGGTCTTTAGGCAGGCGGCAGGCGGCAGGTGGCAGGCCTCATAAGAGCTTGGTTGCCTTGTATGCTAGTCGCAATCAACTCAGCATGCTGATGAATCCTCAATTATATGTGATGAGTATTAATGATTCATAGTGAATGTGGGCCCTAACCATATTTCTTTCACAGTTGGAAATGTGGTTAAAAGCCACCAACTGTATATCCATAGGTTGTGGTCACCATCAAGCTCATCTGGAGCCGACTAGCTACTTGCCAAGACAGCTAAAATACTGGCTCCATATCTATGTCCACAACTTCAAAAACATGTGCAAAAATTTAACAAAGCAAAATTATCCCTGTCTGTGGAGCACAAGAAATAAACCATCACAATAAAACTCTTGACTTCATTTCACGAAAACGTACCAACACCTATGGACTCGTGGCAACTTCAAAGCCGAGAACCCATGCACATAGGAACAGTACAAATCACCTTATAAGGTTAATAAGACTACAAAATATCCCTCCTAAAGCATGTTTTCTTCATTGCTAGTAAGAAAAATTTAGTATAAAACTAAATTTTTTTCAGCAGACAAGAAATCTTAAACAAATGTTGAAAGAAGTTTTGAAAAGACTTCTCTTATGACAAGTCTCAGCTATTACGGTGATCAAGAGTACAAGGACACAGAAAATGCAAAATTAGCCTTCTAGATGCTGATACGAACCTATTGATCTCTTTACACCCAAACTCCTCTGAGTATACGACCTGGCTGGTATGAGAGAGAGCATTTTCATACATGAAAGTAATTCATATATTTCAAATTCAGTTATTAAGTCTTTCAGCCTTTGATGTGTGTGCATCTATTATACGTAACTTCAATTATCCATAGTAAACTTCGTTTGGTCTCCCAAACAATAAAACGATTTCCTCAAAAGTAATGGAAACAACAAGAGATCTTTCAACTCACAGAGTTCCAATAGCCAAAATTCTTTGAATGGGATCAAAAGCCAAAATTGATGCAGTAGATGGAATTCCATAGTGTAGAATCATTTGAATGTTCAAGTCAGTTGAGCTCAAGCCTCCTTGATTTATCACATGCTGTGTGACATAAATATGGTACAAATTAGCTTCATGTGAGTAATATTAGTTCTATGTAATTTTATGTGTGTGTACATACAATGTACCCACAAGTAACAATCAAATACTATTAAAAGCCAATTGCACAGATAAAATGTAGCCGAAAGAAATTTAAAAGGACCTAAAAGAATTTCAACCAGAAAATATAACATAGTGCACCAATGAAAATGAGGAAGATGGCAAACGAAGGGGAATTGCTAACAAGCACAAGTGAAGAAGTTGAAAATTGCCAAGCTCACGCATGCTAATCTTAAATTTAGTATTAGCTCAAATGTTGGGCTCCAAACATTAGTCATATACTCTAACTTTACACATTGAGAAACTCATCATGATCAAATGCAACCTTGTTTTAAATTTCTCATTTCTTCCACTCAAAAAGCAATCCCATTCGCAGTGCCTATTGATTGAGATGAAGAACTCCATCTTGGACCCAACTCTTTATAGAATTTTCCATGTGCACGAACCAAAGTTAGTAATAGTTTCACCCCACAGAAGGAAACGATTCTTCATGAATGAAAAGTTTCGAGCTTCTTCTAGATGGCATAGAAGATCAAGGATTATAAACCTCCAGATCTGGTTATTTATCGTAGACCCATTATAACTTCCGTATGGTTTCAACTTCGTAAAGATTTCTCAGTCACCAATTGTTGCCACCTGAATTGCGAGGTAGCTTGCCAAGACCTTTCTCCACCTGTATTATGAAGCAATTGGTCATGACAAATTGCTGCTTGTGTCGACAAGCTTTGCAAAAACATAATTCTGCTCCCTGGCTGAATCATTAACTGATATTGTCTTCTATAGCCAATCCCTGCATTCTAAAGGACCACTGAATTACTGAACAACTGGATCTCCTCCAACCATGAAACAGTCCACATCCCAATTTTTATATTATTTCTTAGTAGGGGATTTGCTTTCCGAATGATCTCTTGGGTACTAGTTCTTATCAAGAGTTCCAAATGTAACTTCCTAGTCCAAATAAGAACTCTATTTAAGGCTTCAGTTGTGTAAGTAGTGGAAGCTCTTCATCTACTGAATTAGAGTGGAGGTTTTCACAAACGGGTGTTACTACACGGAGCTATAAAAGAAACTATGAGTTATGGGATGCTTTTTGTGCAGCAACAACGACCTAGAAAGGGTATTTTACTTTGACCACAAGCAATACGCGACTGTCCCCACTTGACCAAATGGCTATAAGAGAACCTTTTGTAGGCAGACCATGTACTTCTTGGCCCTTTGCCATTGCAGCCATAAGCCTTCAGCCATGTCTAAAAAGAAGATAATTAAGAAGCTGGTACCATGGTCAGGGAGCTAGAATCCAACACATATAGCTTTGTGTTTCAGTTGCTCTGCATATTCACTCCCAGCTTTCCAAACACCCCAGCCTTAGACCATCCTCAATAACGCCCCAATTGAAAATGGGAAAGTACACTGAACATCCTGAGAATCGCATTCAGAACCTCTGTTGCACAGGCACAGATGGAGGTGTCAGTGTCAGACACGTCACTGGGCATCAGACAAAGATACTGGTGTCAGTGTAAGTCATTGTGTCAGTGTCAGACATGGGTGCAAGGCATCTGATTTCTCTTTCCATGAGGAACATGACTCAGGGATACAACTATATTTTTTTATGAGACAATAAAGTCAAATTTTGTTTATTAATATTGCTTTTCATGATAGGTAGCCAAAAAAATCAATTGTGCCTTAGTTGGCTGAAACCATACATGTTTTCAAAGTTCATATGTTTCTCCTTAAAACAAAAAAGAAGATCAAGTCTCTAAAATGATACATTCAGTGCTTAGTGAACAAGAAGAAGTTCAGTATCTGTGTCTGCGTCGATACATGCGTCAATACGTCAGACACAGGTAACCATGTAACACAGTATAGCACGCAGCAGCAGCATGCACCATTTGTTCTCAAAATGGATCGTGGAGACTAACTATAATTGGTGATTAGAGAAATTCATCTGCGTAAGCTTCATCTTCACTGTCCATCATGGAAACCGGACGACCATTCGCCAGCTTCGTACACCTATACGTACTATACACAAGCTGTGTATGGTATACTTGCCATTGGAGGCCTCTGAATGATATATGCTTTCCCGTTGAAAATTGTTATCATTTTTCATCCATAAAACCAATGCGTATAATCACACTTTAACATACTCAAAACCATTTCTTCTTCACCAAATAATAATTTTGATCAACATAGTCCAATAAAACGATCGAATTTATATAGTTTTCCTCTGTATCCGAATCCCACAAGCTCTCATTTGTCAACACAAAACACAAACTGCACAATTAAGTAACAGAGAAACAAAGCTACAGATGAAACATTTCAAACACAATTCGGAAACCAAGAAAAAGCCAGAAAACCATAGCTCTTAAACCCTATGACGCTCACATTCATCACAAGGATCCATAATTTCAAAGAAGAAAAAAATCAGAGAGGAACAAGAATGATCCAGTAAAAAAATTGCGATGAATACCTGATGCATGGCCTTCTGCAACAAACGCTTCGGGAACATTATGGAATCTTGAAAGTGATTAAGAATCGAGAAACCCTAGGTCACCTGGTTGGCAATTGGAGAGAAGATTAAGAAAAAGTTGCAGGATCATTTGTTGAAATGAGTTTCGGAGAGACCGCTGTTTCGAATTAGTTGGTGAGGAAGCTGCTCGTTTTGAAGGATAAAAACAAAGAGAACGCCACTTTCTTGTCTGAGAGGACCAACAATATTACGATTTTTAACATTTCATATTCATAATTACTTCTAGCTAAGTTAAATATTACCGTAAGGAAATGTATACGATGAGATGATTTACTTTTTTATAGTCACAATTATTGTGAGTTGTTGGATGTGAAATCGGTTGTAAATTCGTTAAAGGTCCCTGATTAAGCATAAAATTGAAAATATTTTTTTCGAAAGCTGTGATATATTTGAGTATGTTAGATTTTACATCGAATGGCTAATAAAAATTGTGACTTTTTTATATCAAAAAATAAATGGTCTCACAGTATATAGTCCCTTACTATAATCATGAGAATTATGGTTTTCTTTGGCCAAGTAAAATGAATTATTTTGGTGAGAAAGAAAACCATCAAAAAATAGTGAGGGTTTGCACAAAGTTGAAATATTAAACAATTAAAATAAGGTGTACCTACAAAATTGATTATAAGATGTAATTTTGATGTTGAAAATTATTAACATGGCCTCATAATATATTTTTTTATCTCTAATTATAAAATTTTAAACTTCAAAAATAGTTAAAATCATTTAGACCTATAAACACATGAAATATTGAAAATAGACTGTTCAGCTAATATATTGCAAAGTACACTGTTTTTGGGATTTGATTTTCTTTTCTTTTTTTTGCATCCATGCATCGATGTTAAGATAATCAATTAGAGGATTCCAACATCAAAACAGCTTATTTATTTTTGTTTTATTTTTTGGATTTTTTAGGTCTACAATTTAAGGTTGAAACGTTATGTAAACATTTTCCACCAAATAAATCGTGGTTTGTTGGATGGGTTACTTTTTGACTGATGGATAAATGGTGATCGAGACCGAGTGGGATCTATAGAAGTTATAGCCTGGCCCTGTATGTCTGTCGATCTTTGTCTATCATTCATCCATATATTGGATGGTAATGATCTAAGAGACTCTCAATTTTTGTCAAGAAGTGGTTTCACCCATATATGAAATATACATAGCTATTCGTACTTGTGTGATTTACATGACCGTTTGAGAGAGCTCCATTATAATATCATGCTTAATGCTATTTTATTTAAAATTTTGTATAAACCATGTTAACATGAAATTTGAAATGTGCCCATTCTTTATGTGTCCCAGTAAATGAAAAAGATATTTATGATAGAAATACCAAAACACCCCAATAAATTATAGAGGTATTTTGTTTATTTTTAACAAAATAAATTTTCTTTTTTTAATTTCATATACCCATATGTAAACACACTCAGAATTTCATATCAAAATGATTTACAAAATAAACAAATGTGATGCACACACTAGGTCATCCAATCAATATCAGGTGCTCAAAGGCTAACTTGTAATGTTATAACTGAAACCATTCCAGTTGTCTATTTAAATCGGGTGTATGGGCATCATCAATCATATATATTTTTATAAGTGGGTTATGTCATGCATAAACGTTCGTGATAGTAAAATTTATGTATAAATCCCATTCAAAATTTATTAAAAAAGAGTCTCGTGTAGTTTACATTCCACACTCAAATCCCATATTTAGTTTGGAAGGAAAGAGGAGGGTTGGATATTTGAGGTTGGAACCAATTTTTCTATTTTTGTAACTAGACCGGTTCAGATAACTAATGTCAAAAACAGTCTTTCACTCGAAATAAGGACTAATGATTGAGTTCGATGTCCGAACCGTCCCACTTAATTTTTTTGAGTGAATTAGATGTCCAAACTATTATTTCACTTAAAAATTTAGAATTAACTATTAACAAATTTGAACATTGAATATTTGAGTCCGACCAATACACAAAAAAAAGCAGCAATGGAGAGAGCGAGAGTGGTTGAGTATTCCCCATTTATCCACAAGATTCTAACATTTGCCTTTCCCTACCTAAGGAAAATGTTTTGATAGTGCTGCAGCCATATCAAATCAAGTAAAGCCTCACCGCAAAACTCGCAAAAAGTACAAGGATGGTGTTGGAAAACTTTCAGATCGATTAACCATTAATATCACTGAAACCTACAAACCACTTAACAAAATAATTAAGGATATTAAATCGTCTTATTATCACGTATATTTATTTGTAAGTTTCATTTCACTAGTGTACCGAAAAAAAATTCTCCAAAAATTTCCAAAATGCCCATTTTGTAATCCTAAACAACCAAAGACGGATCAATAATTTCGTTCACTTAAATAGCACAAACTAAATAATGATAATACACTGTTTATAGCACATAATTGCCAAATAACAAGGATACCCCTAGTTATTCAAGATTAAAAGCTCGGTCCACTTAAACAACTAGGGGTATCCTTGGTAATACAGTCATTTGGCTCGGTCCACTAAACTGGAACCAAATTATTGAAATGAGTCTAGCTGTTCACAGTTCCCAACTCTAAAAACCACTTTTGAAATTTTTTTTTTTTTTTCCACACAATAATAAAAATTAAAAAGCATGGTGGGTCCGACATCTTGATGATTTTCCAATGATTTAAGTTATCTTTTCCATTTTTTTTTTTGGTTCAATGATTATTTTCGGATAGAGATTTTCACAAGATGGTTGCTGCTCAATGAAGACATTGTATGCATTGGATCGGTACTTGTGGTTGCAAGTAAAGTGTGGAAGTTCAAGATTCAAATGCGAGTTCCACTGTCGCAATTGTGCACCAGTAATGGAAAGAGAGGAACCAACCGACGTTCTAAGGCGTTTTGAAGTCTTTAGACCAGGTAAAAGACTCTTTATCTTATTTTCCATTGAAATGCCGGCAAGAGCTTCGAAGGAATTTTGGGGAATTTCTAAAGAGGATATTGTTTGCAAATCTTTTTGAGCTGCTGAACTCCAAGAAGCAAACCAGAAAAAAGATGCAAGACTCGTAGAAGGATGGGTAAAACTCAATTTTGATGGTAGTTTAGAGGTGAAGATCAACTAGTTGGGCGCGGAGGATTATTGAGGGATCAACAAGATCAAGTCCTATTTTTTGATGCAGTGTCTTTATGACCATGTCATGTAGGGATTGCAGAGCTCTGAGCCTTGAAATGTGGTGTCTATAGGTTGTTAGAGATGAATGAATTAATTGTTATAAGAAGGACTCAAATCAATTGGTGCAGGTATGTGGAGAAGGTGCCTTGGAACTTCAAACACTTTTGGACTAAACAGGCCTTATTTGTTCTTGATGTTTAATCTTATTTTTAAAAGAAAGGGAAAAACAAATCTATTTCACCACAACATGGTGTATTTTTAATATCAATTTCCTGGATATACTCTTTAGAGCATATGCAGTAATATGGGTACATTTTTACAAAATGCTATACCTAAATTTGTTGGTGGCAATGGGCCGGGTGGGCCGACCTGAATGGCCGGACCCCAAAAAATTAGGGCTTGGGCTACATAAGGGCCAGGCAAATGTCGTCTTGGTTCAACCCAACCAGCACAAGCCTGAGCTAGGGCTTCTCTGGTCCGGTCAAGGATGCGATGGGTCGGTGCCTATCTTATGGAGACTTTGGCGAAGCAGAGCCCAAGGCCGATCAGTCCATTGGTAGCCCAAAATTTATGGTAAATGTTAAAAGGAAATTTATGTTAATTGTTGAAAACTCATCTTCTGAAATATTGGCACGTGACGGCCCTCTTAACAAAACTAGACATACCCACAGTTAGCAACTCTCGGATAAATCATATATCGGTGAACTAAAACATTGGTAATAAATCGGTTTTATTTCAAAAAGGCGAAAGAAAATTTCGGGTAAAAAATATGGATCGTGAAAAATTAAGGTAAGTTATATAATCGTAAATGTTTCAGATTTGGTTAAAAATAAACAAAATAAAAATATCAAATATGTAAAGATGACACACTATAGGATTATGATGTGCAGTTACTGTATAGATAAATTAAAGTTATTGAACAATAATTTTATGGCCTTGACAATTTATTTTTTAAAGTTTCAATAAATCCAACAACAACATCTAAAATGCTATGTTGTATGCACTAATAATTAAAAGTTAAAAATACGAGATTAATCGAACTTTTATATGCATAAAGAAAACTTCTAAATGCTTAGGCAAATTCAAATCTCACACTGAATTCCTAGCTACCTAAATCTTTAGTATCATTTAATCTCTCACTTGCTCTTGATAAGGATGCTTTGGGTTTAAAGAACGAAAAAAATGTTTTTAATTAGGTCACTCTTGTTCTAACTACACCTATTATATGAGATATACATTTGTTTTGATATTTTTCTTACCTTTTTGTTTAAGGAAACTTATTGGTAAATTCTTTATGAAATTTTTTCTTAATTCAAGATTATTGGTGTACTTCCACGGTTAATGTGTTTATCTTAAACCAAAATTCAATAGTGTTAAGTTAATAAAGAAATAAAGTTATAGAGAATCAGTTTATTTTAATTTATTTTATAAATAAAATCAAATAAGGACTTATATTGATTTCATTAAAAAAATGTACTTTTTTGAAGATCCTACTTGAAGTTTTTAATGAATTTCAAAATTTTTTTTTTTTTGAAAAATTTGTATTTTAAAAGTAGACTTGCTAATTATGGACATACCTTTACCATATTTCGAACCTAAACAAAATTATTTCCAAGCAGTTTAAGACCCTTAGGATATTAGGAAAATTATCACACATATACATTAATTTTCGTCTATTTCAAAAAAAAAAACCCTAACTTTCATAAATTTCATCTACACCATTTTTGTTCAATTTTTAGTCACCAAAATAACTTTCACGATATTTAAAGTACTGTAATATTTTGAATTAATATTACGGTACTTTAAATACCGTAAAACCTGAGCTATATTATACAACATTTTAACTATTGTATGGATATACATCACATATCAATACGTTTAACTACACTATGGATATACATTACATATGGACATCTATCTCTCTCTCTATATATTTATTGATAAGGTTATTGGTATTCATATCTCTATGAGAATTGGTATTTATCTGATATATTTATAACAATAAAAGATAAATATCATCAGCTATGGATAGATACCATTTAAATATATTAGATATTTTATATTTTATACGGTAGTTAAAGTAACATATAGTATGGCTTAAGGTTTGCCAAAATAAAAAAAAACGGTGTGGATTATGTTTATGAAAATTGGGTTTTTAATTAAAATATATTTATCATGATTTCCCTAATATAAACCCAGATTTTTCTCCCATTTTTTCGGATAAAACGTTCCTGACGTTGTCGGCCTGGCCCTCCATATACCACGTGTCGAATGCACAGCACCGGCAGCTCCTGATCTAAGGCAATCTACGTATCGAAATACTTTTTTATTGTTAATCTTATTTATTGATTTTTACTCAGCGTAAAGCTCATCAGATCTATCCTATTTATTGATTTTATTCGGCATAAAACACATCATAATTATCTTATTTATTGATTTTATTCGGCATAAAACTCATCAGATTCATCAGATTTATCTTATTTATTGATTTTATTCAGAATAAAAACGCATGAAATTCAGAAGCCGTCAGAAGCCATTGGACCAACTTTGAAAAATGGCCTGGTTCAATAGAATTGGAAAACGATACATCACTAAATCAAGTTTTCGCGCCACTGATGGACTTCAAGCTCCTGGCTTTTCAACAAAAGCCGTGTCTTCCCTTCTCCATAGTTGGTCTTCATTTTCAGTGTACAAATATTCTCTTCCTACCATTAATGGATCTCGAGCTCCTGGTTTTCCTTCCGAGTTTCTCCCTTCACTTCTCAAAAGCCGCTTCTTCTGCTCTGTTCCGACCCAAAATCGATTGGGTCCATCAGGTTTGAGACCCACAAGTCCAGATGGGAAGGCTAGGGTTGTGGTTTTGGGCTCTGGTTGGGCCGGTTGTCGATTCATGAAGGGGTTGGATACTGATCTTTATGATGTCGTTTGTATATCCCCGAGGAATCATATGGTTTTTACGCCTCTTTTGGCTTCGACTTGTGTTGGCACGCTGGAGTTTAGGTCAGTTGCAGAGCCAATTGGGAGGATCCAGCCTGCTATTTCGAATGCTCCGAATTCTTACTTCTTCTTGGCTACCTGTAAAGGCATTGACACTGATAACCATGTTGTGAGTTAACTGTTTCTCTCTCGTGATTCCAGTTGTGAATTGATTGTTTCAGTCCGTTAGAAGCTGTGGTAGATGTTGTTGTTCTTTTTGGTCTGATAAACTCCACTGAGAGAGAGAGAGAGAGAGAGAGAGAGAGAGAGAGAGAGAGAGAGAGAGAGAGAGAGAGAGAGAGAGAGAGAGAGAGAGAGAGAGAGAGAGAGAGAGAGAGAGAGAGAGAGAGAGAGAGAGAGAGAGAGAGAGAGAGAGAGTAGAGTAGTAGTAGTAGTACGTACGTAGTACGTACGTACGTACGTACGTACGTACGTACGTACGTACGTACGTACGTACGTACGTACGTACGTACGTACGTACGTACGTTACT